TAAGATGAACATTTAGTCACCTACAGTATAAACAAATCATTTTTCTTTATGTGAGCCAGTATAAACTGTAAAGAATGGGTCCCTGAATATAAAGAAACCCTCACACTGCATTCTTCCATCAAACATGAAGTTGGGAGTTGTTAAGTATATATTACTGTGTTTGGTTAGTATCATACAAAAACTTCTTACGACTTTGAATTGACTAATATTTGTAAATTGTGAATATGCCTCTATATTCTAAATATTAGAAAAAAGCATAACTGAGATGCAATGACTATGAAAATACTGTAAAATATGGTTTTCAGAGATTCCAACCATACAGTCAAAATAAGAGTGGGGAAGATGAGAGAGTGGAAAAATAGAAGGAGAAAACTGAGAGGACTGAGAAGACCAGGTCTCATGTTACTACTTTTCCCCTGTGTTCTTTGCCTTTTTGATCTGTAGAAATTTAGCATTAATTTGAAGGTTCAATGGTAACTGAACACAGTTGGACGCACTATATAAAAAATGGAATGTATTTCTGATGCGCACCTAACTTCAAGTGTCCAGCACCTATACATAGTATTCACATGATGGAATTTGCATACACAGAATCAAACCAGACAGTCTTGCCCAGACTTAAACATATTTTGTAATTATATAATTTGAAAAATCAAAGCTTTATGAATGTATGCATTTACATGCAATGTGGTATATGAATGTGACAAATAATGTACCTTTATTTTCCAAAGGCAAAATTTTCTCATCTCGCAAAAACAACCCACAGCAATGGAATCCATTTCAGCTGTAAACTGCGGGCTTGATGGGTATATAGTTTAAATATCATGGTGTTCCTTTTTTTAAATTGATTTTTTTAAACCATGAATTTATTTTGCTGCTTTTCCATCACATTCATTTGTATGAGTGTCGGTGCAAAGGGGAGGGGAAAAAACAGTATTACAGTGTCTGTAGCAGTCTGTAAGCAAGTATTTTTGCCATCCAAGGAGTGAACTGCAACGAGAAATCCAGACTCAAGGCACAGATGCGTTCATTACCAGACAGTCTTCACTTCCCAGGTATCACAGTTCATTTAGGAGCCTGTTATGCCGCTAGGTTCTCTGTTGCAGATGCTAATGATAAGCCACTAGGAGAGTAAATATTGAAAGGCAAATATTAAATTATTCTCTGAAATTCATTGTGTCCAGGAAAAAAGGGACACTCAGCATTGTTTCCTCTTCACTTCCTTGCTTCTCTAGTTAACCTTCACAGTGTTCCAACATGGAATTTTAACAGAGCAGTGCTTTGGGATGGAATGCACGCCTTGGTAGCACCACACTTGCAACTCGGGGCCTCTGCACAGCAAAAAGTGATACGAACATCTAGCACTTGTAGCACCATTTGCTGCTTCTTTAGGCTAGGCTGACAGACATACAACCAGCTGCTTTGGCAGCTGACACAAACAGGGCTTTGAGTGGCACTGGACCTTCTCCTTGAGGGACTAGATCCTCCTCATAAAATTTTCTCAGCATTCTGTCTTCAGGTACAAATGCCCCTCTAGCAGCAATTTCTAAACTGAAAATGAAGCTCTCGGTGCAAGAAACCTCTTTACTAGTACATTGTAGAGGGCAGAATATTGTGGGGTGAAATTCCTAACTTTCCTTGCCAGTGTAGTATTTTTAGAAAAAACGTTTTTTTAATTTTTTGCGCAGCAATAGTGACTATTTGTCTGTCTTTTACTGGAAAACTTACAGACCTTTGATTTTGATGGATTTGAGGGGACCAGTCTGGTTACTGATTTGTTTTACCTCGCAACAATGGGAATATTAAATACTCGCATTTGGTAATGTTTCCCTTTCCTGCCTTGCCTAATAAATGGCTCAGAACTGCATGAGAGTCTTAATATCATGTCAGTTATTACACAGAAGACTGTTGTTACTGGCAACAAGTGTAAGAGTTCATCTAATTAACTGATTTCAGTTTATGTGGCATTGAATAATTCCCAGAACTCCCATGTTTGTCCAATATGTTCTATGAGGGGAATGATTCTCTAAAAGCAATTAAATGGTTCCTTTCAGACTAGTTTGTCATTGGTCATTCACATACACCCCTGCTATTTCTCTCTCCATGATGTATGCAGTTGGCAATTATACAGAGTGACCCTGGAAATCTGCCAGTGGCTCTAGCTTGCTTTTTGTTTGGTTGCTTTTTTGGTTTTATTTTTTAATGAGGTAGGAGGGAGGGCGCTTGGTAGGCTACAGTCATCATCTCTCAGTTGTCTTTCACATCAACTTTGCCAGGCTGCTACCAGGACTCTCCCACCACTATTGGTGTTATTTCTTTTTCTGTCTTGTATATTTGTGTTTTGTTTTATTCTTGAGGCTTGAAAAATTTGAGCTATTTCTGATAGGAATCATCACCAGTAGCATAACTAAAACTCTGGATTCATGTCTCCTAAGGGTGTTGTGCTGAAAACAAAATAACCTATATTTTGCTCCCATTACTAAAGATGAATTGTCAAGCTTTGTACTGGAGGTAACTTTAGCAAAATTCCACTGCCACCAGCTCCCCACCCTCCCTGTGTTTTATGCGTTTGTCAGCAGCAGCCACTTGGCAAAGGATGTATGTGTTGGGAGAGAGATAGGATAGAAATTCACCAACCAAGTTAAATAACTAAGGTTTGACTCGCTCTCTGGAAATACACTTTTGTCACCCCCTTCCTGCAGCTGCATCAAAACAGAGATAAGGAAGTAGAACGCATCAGCCTTTGCCGAGGTACAGCAGAGAGGAATCATATGAACTGAATAACTTACTGAAAAATAAATATGTATAAAAGTTGGCTTGAGGGGTTCTAATAATTCTGAGACATTTTTCTTTGTGTTTGTAAGTAACTGGATGATTTCTTAAATTAGCTGGAAAGAGAGGTGATTTGGGGTAACTGCTGGAAGGTTTTATTTTCAAGGAAATCAGCTACCATTTGTAAAGAGTAGCAGTGGTTGGTGTTAAGTGATGGTATTTTGTGCAAAAATAGTGTTTTCCTAGCAGTGCAGGAGATGTGAGAAATTGTTTGTTATTCATACGCGTAAGCAGAAGCAAGTAGTTTTTTGCTTGAATTGTTTGCTTAGAGCAGTCATTCTAATATCAGTTTGACAAATCTCACGTCTCTAAATGCAGTAAGACCGCTGCCATTGCTGAGATGCTTTGCTGCAGCAAGGCCTGCAAGCAGTGTATGCTTTGTGCTCTCTACTCTTCCCTCCCCCTCTTACACACTTGCTGTTTAAGAGGAACATGGCAGCTATAGTAGATGCTGTGTTTGTGCTTTGATATTTTTTTTAGCCTAAGAATCCTACAAACACTTAGAAGCACTGACACTTAGGGAACATTTTTTATTATGACACTTGAAAAAGAAAAAGCAGAGCTGGCCTTTTTTGTTAGCATGTTGTGTCTTTTTTTTTTCACTCCAGTCTTCATCTCACAAATACTTGTACATGTAGTCTTTAGTAAGGGATGTCACTGAAGTTGTTCGAACTTTTCAAGTCTTTAGCAAGAATGGTGTTTTTATAACTGCATTTTCTGAGCACCTACTACTACAGCTATACTGAGAATGCTACCCCCAGGGGATATTAGATAGATAGATGTGCAAAGTCAATTTACAGGATTGGAGTCTGATTGATATAAGTGCAGGGCTACACATAAGTGTGCCTACATGAGAGCTACATTCACTTAAATGTATTATCCAAGTCAGCTTGGGTAACTTAGAATTTAACAGTATAGCCATGAAGTGCTGGGCTCAGCACAGGCAGTATGGGATGGTTTGGCTGTTGCTATGCTGCTATTGCAAACTTCTAAAGGGCAATGTTGTTGCTGTTAGCTTGTGACGTGGCAGTGGAAGTATATCCTAATTTTTAAGCAGGGTTTTTCCCCTTACTTATACCTTGGTTTTATTATTTTATCTTCTTATTTATATCTTTGGTTGAGGTTCTTCCCCTCATTTTTTATCTTGGAAACACCATTTGCTTTAATTTTAAGAGTGAACTACATGTCCAGGAGTTTAGAAGCCAGACATCAGGATCATACAAGCCAGATGGATTACAGTGTAACAAAAAAAATCCCCAAACAAACAAAAACCACACACACACACCCACGCCACTCCAAAAAAAACCACAAACAAAACCAAACCAAAACCAACAGGGCAAGATGTTTCAATTGCTAGTATTAATATCCAAGTGAGTCTCATCCACTTTGTCACTGGCTCTGCACAGGTATTTATTTTAAGAGGTAGGGAAAACACATTTATGTGGGACAGGGTTAAATTCTTGTCAGATACTTCGTTTTTATAACTTAGCAAGCAGTTAGCTAATCAAACATAGGTGATTACATTCAGATTAGATGAATCCCTAGACTTCAATTGTGCTGATGGGGATCTCCATTGACTGTAATGGAGCTCACATGCACATATCTACTTTGCAGAGTTCTAAATTTAAGCAAAGAAGTCCTGTCCCTGATGTCTGCTGTAAGTTTCCTAGCTTGTTCATTCTGCAGAAGATAAATGTGTTTTCAAACCAGGGAGATCACGCTCAATCTGGAAAAATTTATGAGACTGTGTTTTTAAAACCGTAATTTGTTTTATCTTCAGTACTGTGAAAATATTGTTGATGACAGTCTTTGAAGGCAGAATTAGATGGTAATACTACCAGCTGGTGCATAAAGCAAGGCTTACTTGCATAGAGTAATTTTAGTGTTGTATTTGATTTAAACAAATTGAAATGTATTTTAAAGACCAGAATCCTAAACTGACCAGCCAATGATTTGAGTAGATGGGGCCTAACAGTTTTTTTTCATCTCCAGCTACTGCTTCTACATGAAAATTAGCACAGTAATTGGCTTGCTTATCCTTTTCTGTAACGGCTGAGTGAGGTACTTAGATTTTAACTAAAATATTTTAAAATTTGCAGTTAAAGTAAATTCTGACTCCTTATTAAAAAGAGCCTGACAGACGTTATTGTCTTGCCCCCCCCCCAAAGCCTACAGCCAGAAGGCACAGATGTTCTTCTAGGACCAGAAGTAACTTGTGGGCCCTCAGACTTGTCTGTCAGCACCCCATTTGCCTTGACGATACCACACTGCGCAGAAGTAAATTCAGAGCACTGGAATATTCACTTGAAAAAAAGGACACAGCAAGGAAAATGGGAGGTAAGTTTAGACTTCTGCTCCCACTTAAAAGATTGTATTAACAATGGAAACATGATTACTCTTATTCATGCAGGCAGAGGTCAAAGATTATGTAAGTGATAGAAACAGGCATCTTAAAGAAACAACAACAACAAAAAAAGATTTTGCATTTTGTTAAGAAGCAGCTAAACTGTTTTCAAATATTTTACCAAGATGTGCAATAAAGGGTCAACTTTATGATCTAGCCCATGTGACATGAGAAAGTATTCATTTTCTCAGATCACTTGATAATAGAGACAGTAGCCATTCATTTTTAAAAACATTGTTTTGATAGATCATAGCTTCCACAAAGACTCATGTGAGAACAGATCACTATATCCATGCAAGAATTCATCATGACATAAAGTTATGGAACTGGTTAAAAGTATAAACTTCAAGTTTAATTTTTTTTTTTTAACCTAGAAGGATCCTCCTGATTTAAAAATCTTGTCTCTTTATATATGTCATTTTAATGGGCATTCAGTGATCACGCTGTGCTCATAACCTCTGAAGGATTAGTGTACATTAAATGAAATATTTTTCTTTTTTAGTTGAACATGCATTTTCTAATCCTGATTTACTGGGGAAATTAAGCTTTGTGCATTCATGACATGGGCATTTGATCATTTGTGTCTGTCCACCTGCATTTTTTAAGCCCACTGGCCATCTTCGACTGAAACTGCTTGGTAGGCAGCACTCAAACTTATTAAACTTTCTGCATCATCTGGGGAGACAGCCTACTAAAAATACACAAAAAGGGACGGCTAAAGCATGAACCAAACTGTTATTCAACATTACAGAAATCCACACAGGATAGACAGGTGCTGAATTTCCCAACTATAAAGTGTTCACTGTACATGTAATTAGAACTGCAGAATCCGGTAACTAGACACAAATCCATAGTCAATCAATCAGATTTTATTGCACTGCTGCTGATGGAACTACTTGGTTCATTGCGTTGTGAGGGGAGAAAAAAACCAGTAGTTAAAACATTCATGGATACCATAAGTCACTCTATCCTTTTCCTCCTCTAAACCACTACTACTACGTTGTTTGTTGCTCTTGTTTAAATCATTTCAAGTTCAGCTTAGTTTTCCTACCTTAGATGCACTCGATACTTAGTCAGCTCTATCACTGTTGGTTAAAAACACCCTGGAATTAATGAGGATTGTAACACCAGACTGTAGACTGCTCAGATACCTCATGTAATGATGCTGTAATGCAGAACTAAGCGTGAAAGGCAAAAGAGTGGGATAGGTAGTTTTTTGATGAAAGTAAATGTTAACTGTAATGGATGTTCTGAAAGGAAGTCAAATACCAACTATTGTTCAAGGTTTGCTTATTGACTTTAATCTTCAAGGTAATTTCTTAACTTGACATTGGGAAAAAAAATTAGCTAGAGAGTCAAGAGCACTTGAAAAAAGATGCTAAAATTGCTTACGCATCATCATGATTATTATATGCTGTACACATTGAATTCTGCACAATATATTGCTATAAATCCTATTGCTGACTCAGGGCTAAATAGCGAGTATTTACTCATATAGGTAGTCTACCTTCTCCCTTTCCCTAAGGTCAACATGAATAAAGAGTGTGCAGACGGGCTCTCAGAAATACTTTACATTCTAGTTGAATAAAAATAAACAAATACTGTCATGATTCCTATTGTCAAGGCCTATTGATTTTATTATTTTAATTTTTTTTAACCTGAGTTTCATTTTGCAGGAAGTGATGTCTGTGGAAGAGGAAACTACTTCTTGCTACTGCCTGTTGGATCCTTATGCCTGTCACATTCTCTTAAACAGCTTTGGAACTTATGCTCTTATTGGAGAACCGATCTCTGACTGTGCCGTTCGACAGCTGAAAGTAGCGGTTTTTGGCTGCCTGTCTTGCAATTCTCTGGATTACAATCTGAGAGTATATTGTATGGATAACACACCTTGTGCATTTCAGGTAAATGGTTTCACTTTGTTATTTTGGTTTTAGTTATTTTTCCATTGAGTACTAAAATTCCTTTATTCCTGGGGACAGTCCCTGGGCAACAGCAACAGTCCAGAACTCGAATGAGAATACTGTGGGGGTTTTTATGCTGCTGCTGCATGACTTGGAGTAAGTAAGTCCCTTAATTTCTCTGCAGTGTTTTCACTTGTGGATTTACACTGCAAGAGCTTTAGGACAGCCAAACTGTCTTTTCATTTTTTGCCAGGCAGATGGAAACCCACTCTGCCCACATTCCAGACTAACCAAAAATCATGTAGCCATGGTTAACACAGCACAAAGCTACAGCTGATAAGCAAAGAGTGTTAGGTTGGGCTCAGTGCCTTGGCTGCTACGTGGCACAGGCAGAGCTTGCTTGCATCTGGAGCTGAGTGCTACTCCACTACAAGTAGAAAATGTAAGTCATTATCATTTGATGTATAGTATTTATCACGCTCGTTACCCTTGCACTGTCATTAGTCAGTTCAGGATTTCCTCTCCTGTTTACAATTTTAGCAAGAAGAAAGAGATTTCCTCACCATCTTTTTAAACAAAAATTAAACTCTGATCGTGCATTTCCCCTTTTAAAAAAGAACCAACACAAAACTATCCCCAAGAGGCTATTAAAATTAGCATGATTTTTCTACATGGTATTCGAAGACAAACCAATGAAATTCCCTGGCTTTTGCAGCCTTAGTAAACTCAGAAGCTTTAACAAAATGGTCTTCTTTTGGGAACTGAAGTGAAGACAGTTGTGACAGATGAATTTTTGCTTCCTTTTCCTATTGTACAGAACAGAAACATGAATCTTAATGAAACACGCACTAATGTCTATGTGCCTCTAATAAAAGCAAAGCCACTGAAAGGATTGTTAAAGACTTACAATAGCTTTGTAATTATACCCTTTATAACACACAATTCGTGGGCTACCAGTATTTTCCTAGATGAGTCTGTCGAAAATTGTTAGAAGAATAATTACCAGTTTTCTGCATTCACAGAAATTAGAACAGGGTGTTTGTACATAATGAGACAACTGTATATTTATGAAATTATACTTCCCTTAAAAGCATGCTGCATCAACTTCATGCTAGTGTAAATATTAAGTGGCGAACATGGAAAGTACAGATTTTTTGGAATAAAGTATTGGAGTTGGGCTTACCCAAGTTTTGTTTGACACTGTTAATCCTTTATGGTGCAGTCCTATGTAAGACACAAAGTTCCTTGATTTTTCACTTTGTTCCTGTGTGAAAACTTACCTTACTTGCCATTCTAACGGATGACTTTGCCCTCTATGCAATTCCTAGTGTGTTGGGAAACTTGGCTCTCAAAATGTAAGAGAACCAAGTCCCTTGTATTTTGTGTTTTGCTGTAGTCCTGCTGACCCTTGTGGAATTAAGGACCATGTGCATTATGAAAGGTGGAGCAGTGTTTATACAACTACGGTACATGTAAAAAAAAATTCCAACACAGGCAGGGAATTTTGAAAATAGTTATGAAATAAGCTATTCCCTTTGCAGTTGAAAATCAAAAACTAAAGTCTCCCTTCTTATTCCTTCTTTCATATAAACCCAGCCATTAGGAGTTAAACTGAATGCCTGTAAATTCGTTTATAATAGAAATCCATTATTATAGTTTCAGAAAGCTCTAGCAGTCATTATATTTTCAGAAGGTCACAATGATTCCAGTAGCTCTTCTAATAATAACTTCACTACTGACAAGCACTAAACCTCTTTGATGCACACAGATTTTTTTATAATTTATGTGGATAAAAAAAGGTAATTTTGAAAGACTGCTTGCTAGCTGATTTTTAAAGACTTCTGCAAGCTCTCCTTCCTCACTAGTAGTATATTTACTGTAACAGTACAGGAATAAACATTGAGTAAGTACAGGCAGGGGTCATTTTTTTACTATTGTGTTTTAAATTCACAGAATTATATAAAAATCTAGGTTGGAACAGACCTCTAGAGGGCTGTAGTGCAAATTCCTGCTCAAAAGTCAGCCCTTCCAAGATTGCTCAGGATCTTGTCCAGTTATTCTGAAAATGTCCAAGAGAGGCGAAATGAAACTGAAGCATTTTGTTTAAAGCGTACCCTTGGTGTGTTTCTTTCAGTGCTCTTTAAAGCCCTAAGACTACTTTCTCACCAAAACTGCTGTCAATTTAATCTGTAGCCGAGTAGACTATTCACCAAGCATGTGTTATGTTGTCTATCTTCCTTTTAGTCTGTTAAGTAAATATCTCACTGAGCTTTGTATGTCAAGTGTCATACTGTCATCTGGCCCATGAGAGAAATACTCCACCGCTGTACCCTGATATGCTGTACGTAAACATAAAGATGTATTTTCACCTTCCATAAAGATGGATTTTCATTAGATTTGGTATTTGTTCCTAATACTGAAAAAATTCTTTCCTCCTCTGCTGTTGCAGGAAGTGGTTTCAGATGAAAAACTCCAAGGAGGACAATTACTGGAGGAACCCAAGCTTTTGCATTTCAAAGGGAATACCTTCAGTCTTCAGATATCTGTCCTTGATATCCCTCCTTTCCTTTGGAGAATTAAACCATTTACTGCATGTCAGGTACTTGTCAATTTTATCTGTTTACATTTGAATTCAGAGGAAGTGAGAATTTTCACTGGTATAGGCATAACCCAGAAAAGACAATGGTCCCTTTTATTTTTGAAGGGTGTGTTTTTAATCTCCGAGTATGCAACAAAAATGCATTGCCTTATGATTTTGCTAGTCTAGCCTCAATGTTTCTTTGTAGTTAAGAATTCAGGGAGGATTATTTCTGCCTGATAATTTCTGCAAAGTTATTTCTTTGGGGCATTACCTCCTTTGCTGATTGTGAGTCCCTGGTGCATGCAAAGTTCTGAGAGTGACTCAGAGGCCTCAAAATACTTTGTGTGCAGTTCAGCACTTTTCTTAATGCTACATACAACTTCTATGAATAAATATATTGCTTATGGTATATTAAACTCAGGTATTTTTGTTCTCTGTTGGCAAGTAATAGTCCAGAGTTCCCAGTCAAAACTGAACTGCAGGGTGCTGTTAAAACAAGACACAATAGCCAATGCAAATTTCTCTGTATTTATCTTCATGCACAGCAAGGACATCACTTTGCTGAATCTAATGCAAGTGGCACAGTCCAAAGTAGCTATTAAATTTATTGCTGCAAGATAAAAACAAAAAATAAAAAGTCAGATGAGGGAGCCATAACCCACAGAAGAATGCTTAAGTGCTGTGCTTGCTTTAAGGCAGGCATAGAACGGCAGACCTGCTGAAGATTTTGATCATAGTAGGCACGTTCCCATTCTCTCAGCAGCCACTCAGGGTTAAAAAGAAGCACGTGCAAAACAACCTCTGCTGACAGAATGGTCTGACACAGTGCTGATACTGAAGCCAAATAAATATTTACATTTTATAATTGAGTATAGTTTGGATGACTTGGACAGGTAATAATTGTTCCTAAGAGAAACTGCAGAACAACCTATACTGGCTTTGTATTTCCCTCTCAGTGAAATGTGTTGTGAAATGTCCCAACTCTCTTGACAGCTGTGATTTGGTTCCAGCCTTTTTATATATAAAAAAAAAAAAAATCTACTTCTTCATGTGGAGTTTCTTCCAGTGTTTACTTGTTTTCTCTCCTGCATACCACACTTTAAAAACAAGCTAGCTGCTCTGGTTGTCAAGAACAACTGGAAGGAGCCTATTGCATAATTGTCATTTGGTCCACCAAATGAAACCATTATCAGATAGTGCAATGAGGCAAGACTTATGTTAATGATTTCTCAGACAAGTAAAGATCCTGCTTCAAGGCTTGAACAGATGAATAAATCATCATGTAAAACTGTGGCATAAAAGTAGTTAATGGCAGGTGGTAGTCAGAATTTCTCCAGACTCTGCTAAGTGCATTTGTTTGTCCTGGCCATCCTGCAGGAGCAGATGCTGAGTGCTTGGCATCCTTCCCACCATGTTCACAAGTAACTAGGGAGAACCCTTAAGAACTGGTTGGGTGTTAGAGCAGGAAGAGGCTGTGACAAGCACATTAAGAAGCCAGACAGGCACCTTTGGGGGTTAAAAGCAGCTGTCCTCCTAGCATCTTGTGTCTCTTTCTTAGATGATCCAGTGTCTGTCTGTAGCTATGAGATGATTTACATTCCCTCTGTCTGCTAGGAACTTAATTACAAAGGGAGAATAAAACTGAAAGCATTTCTGGAATACTTTAAACACTCATCGTTCCACCATGCTTTGCCCTCCTGTATTATGTTTCATATAATTCTTTTCAGCTGAGTGATTCTTCCACTCTGAATGAAAGCAGAGATGATTACTCTGGAAAAATCTAATTACAGTTGCTCCACTTCTAGTATTTTGCTAATGTTTTCTTTATCGCTGTTGGTACCTTGCTATTGCTACCACCTCAGGATCTAAATGCAGAGCTTATCATTATCACTTAGTGCATCGTTACAGATAGGCTGAGACACTCTTAAGAAGCAGTAAACTGCATTATCAGCTATGAGTACAACAATATTCTCCCTAGTTTAGTCTTGACTGTACTTTAAAGTATAGGGTGAGGCTGATCTTTGAAGCTGTACGTTCTCAGATTACCAGTGCATAGCTAATGTCTTCAGGGGCACAGAAAAGATTGCAACCTAAGTCCAGTAAAAATGGCTTATAGGAAGACAAGAATGAAGAAATGCATGTTTTCTGAGCTGTAAGCTCTTAGGTGAGCTTCCATATATATAAATTGATCGTTTAAGTTAAATTCATGGTTTACTTGATTTAAACATCTAATTATGACAAGTGACTAGTTGACAGGTCACTCAGTTATAACTATCAGTATTAAATACTGAAGGAATTACAGCTGCCTACAGGCAGCAAATTTTATGTCCTTGTCTGTCATTTATTAACCCTTTATAAAGCTCTGAAAAATGCAAGCAGAATGCATGCCCAGATTAAATTTTGTATATAGTAACTACTGTATTTTCTTTGAAGGATCAGCTTCACATGCCTTTCAAATAAATTCTAAAATTTAAAAGTAGTGTGTGAAAAAGGGACAGAGTAATCTGAAAATCCATAATCCTCCTCTAGAAAAACTAATGTAAAAATCTTTAAACTAGTTTTCTCGTGTTAGAATAATTGCTCACTGAAGCTGTTTAATGCTGTCCCATAATCATATGGATGAATGCTAAGATATAATAGAATGAAATATTAATATCAGTCTTTTTTCCCTTTTACATTCTTCTCCAGGTTGCCAATTCTACAGTATTTTCCAATATCTTGAAATTAATAGAGAACATGTTTGGTTTAATTGTTTTTACTATTTACAGGCCTTCATGGCCACAGTGTGGAACACTATAGTGGGTTTGTAGCTGATGTTAGTTTAGAATTTAAAAAAAAAAAAAAAAAAAAAAAAAAGGGTTCCAAAAGCGTTAAGAGAGGAGACCAGCAAGAGACCTTTGGTATTTACAAAGTAATCATAAAACAGAAGTTAGTTGCCCCCTATGTACTTCTCCTGTCTATTTCCGTACATTTTTAGGAACTCAAAGCAACCAGAGATGCCAGAAATCTCTGATGATTAATTGCTGCAGTTGTCTATGTAGCATTTGATGAGGGCATTCATCCCATAAACTGTCCCTGGCTGAAGTAGAGGAGTCACTGAAAGTAGTCACAGAATATAACAGGATGAAACTAAGAAGTAAAACTGAGACTGACCAATGATGTGCAGTGGGCTGCACGTGACTACCCAGGCAGGTGGGTGTTTTTAAATTCGGATGGAACATAAATATAGAAAATACGCTGTCATGCTCTATACTGCATTAACTTACAGAGGAAGAACAGTTCTTGATTTGAAGTTCCTTTTTTTGGATTCTGTAGTACAAAGTGATGGCAAGGAGACACAGATTGGAGTAAGAGTGCATCTTTCTCGAGTTTCATTTTAGATGGGAGTCTCTCATCATGTGTGTCAACTGAATGAAATCTAAGCTTTCAGTAAATGTAACATCTCAGTATTTATCAATTGAATTGTCACTTATTAGTTTTGTCCTACTTTGAGTTTGCAGGGATGCTAGTAAAAACGCAATTGCAGAGAAAAATCATGGACTTTTTTCCTATTTTGCGATTGTCACAATTTCTCTCTTTCATGCCTGCTTCCCTGTTCTTGTGGGAAACGTTTCTCTCACAGGAAGTCCCATTCTCTCGTGTGTGGTGCAGCAGCCAGAAGCCGCTGCACTGTGCCTTTTCACTGGAGCGCTACACACCTGCAACTACACAGCTGTCCTGCAAGATCTGCGTCCGACAAGTCAAGGGTCATGAGCAAATCCTACAGATCCAGACATCCATTCTAGAGGTAAAGCGTTCTCTCTCTTTTTTTGTTTTGTTAAGTTGCTGTGTAGTATGTGACATGATCCCTCCCCATTTTTGTCCTTTCTGTCTCTGTTTAGTTTCTTATGCCCTGTTTAAAACTGTTACAAGTATACAAAGCCTTACCAATTCCATTTCCAGCAGAAATCAAAGCACAGAGATTCTAAAACACTAAAAATAATTTATATTTGAGTTGGTGGTAATAGTTTTCTTGCAAAATGTTTTGATAGTTTGCAGAGCACTGAGAGTTGAAAATGGATGGATTGCCTGTATGCTGTTAGGCCACTGACTACTCACTTACTAGAGCATTTTTGTATACACAGAATGTCTTGCAAGGATGGTAGCTTTGCTCACAGGTGAAAGATATCAAACATCTAGTCAAGCAAGCTGGTGATGTGTCCTACAGCAATGAAAACTTCAGATGCTTTTTTTAGATTACTGAACTTCTTTGTTGATCAATCCAGATTAATACCTCTGGATTAAAGATACATGATCACTGCTAAATGCACTATGCAGAGAATGCAGCAACAAAATAAGAAAACCACAAACATCATTCTGTATAAAAACATCCACAGAATACGGCCAAGCATTTTATTGGTTCTTTATTGTTATTTCATAAAAAACTTCTGTCATTCTATATATCTCTCAATAGAGTGTTGCTGCTGCAGGTTTTTTTTCTCCCTCTCTCTCTTTTTTTTTTTTTTTTTTTTTTTTTAAGGGACCTATCTGTCCACAAGTCCCCAGAGCATGTTACAATTTTGTCTTCAAATAGATTTGCTAGCATGGAAGGTTTTCTCATGCCTATCTCAAAAAGTGATTGAAGAGTGAGCATAATTTGACTGTTAAAAAAATATATAAATAACAACTGAATACTTGAATACTGCAATTCCTTGAACTAACCAAGTAGCAGTAGCTTATCTCACATGTGCAGGGTATGAAACTCTACTATTGTTCTGCATATTTAATTTAAACAGTCAGACCATGAGATGTATCTACAGCACCGCTATTACTTTGCATGGATGACTTTTGGGATGTGTCATAAATGTTATATGAAGAGACTATAGCATCATTGTTATTTAATATTTATGCTGCATTGCACTGAAACGAATAACGCATGGAAATGTGACTCTATTACACAAGAGTGGTATAATTTCATAGGAAAAGAATGGACCAGATCTACAAAAGGACCTGGATTCCAAAGACATTTTTAATATGGAAGAACTGAGGTACTTATAGAATTTAGATGTTTTTTTAAAAAAATCACAAATGTGAGACTTATGTGTCCATATTTTAGGCTTAAGCAATTAAAAATTTAGAAACCCATATGCTTTTGTGGCATTCCATCTACCAATCACTGCTCTATTGGACTTCATCTGTAACACAAAAATAAAAAAAAGAGAGGAAACTTGTAGAAGGAAAATGACACTGTTTAAAATGTTTTTATACATAACTGCTTGTGATGTTCTAGAAGTTCCTTCACAAATACCTTTTAGCTATTCAATTTTCTGTTGTCAGTTCTACAGACTGTAGCTGGAATCTCAGTAGGCTCAGGTTTGGTTCTTTCTTTCTCCAAAAGCAGACTTGATACACCAATACAGTACATAGACAGGCTCACTGCAGGTAGATAGATCCCTGCATAACAAGGCAGCAAAAAGAGTACAGAACTGTCTGCACTCACAGCTGTTCTCATTCTGAAGATTCTGTGCAGAAATCCTGTCTCACTTCCCCTTTTCTCAGCAGGAGTGTACCATAGGACTCTTGGTGTTACTCTGTTACTGTGCTAAAGAGAGCCACCTACAGACCCACCACAGACAGAAAGCCTGATGCCCTAACTAACTGCTTTGCTTTTATATTCTGTGTAGAATGAAAGAGAAACCATCACTTTCTTTGCACATGATGACAGCAACTTCCCTGCACAGATGGGTCCAAAAGCATTCAAAATCCCCTACTCCATTAGACAACGAATCTGTGCAACATTTGACACACCCAACGCCAAAGGCAAAGACTGGCAGATGTTAGCACAAAAAAACAGTATTAACAGGTAATGGAAGGCAATTTTGAAAGGTGAACATTTACATATGCAATGGCAATAATTTGATGCTGTTATGGTTTTCTTTGGCTGCTGGTATTAAAGATGTGTGCATAGTAATTTACATACTTAACTCTCAAGGATAAGCTGTAGTTCATACATTCTTTTATATACGACTAGTTGCTGAAAACAGGAACTGCCTTCTCCTCTGAATAAATCAGTGTGCCCTGTCCTATCTGATGTATGTTTGCTTCTGAGGTCAGTTTCTTTGTTCTGGGCTGGACCTTTTCTTTGTACACCCACAAGAGTGGAGTCTTGGTAAAGTACGAGACTAGAAGGACTTCGGAGGTTGCGTGTTCTCTCAAAAAAATCATATGGCCTGTTGCCTTGGCTTCTGTCTACATATTTTCTGTTCCAAAATTAATTAAACATTTTGCAGATTTTTTTTTCCAAGGAAAAGACATATTTAAAAAAGAAAGTCATGCTCTACTGTTAGGAGTAATAATATTATGATTATTAAAACTGAAAGAAGCTGTAAAAACTGATTTACTACTTATTTTGCTTTTTCCACTTGGCTAAATTAAATTGGTGGAGGCAGTTCACTCACAGAAATATTTTCCGATTGTCACGAATGCCATAAATATGTTCCCAAGAGGGTAGAGGGATACTTAAATCAAGCAAAATAACTTTTCATTGACTTGTTGCTTTGCATGGTAATCTCAATAAACCACATCTGAACCAAAGAAAAAAAGTAACTTACAGTCTTGCAGCTGTGAGAGAGTCAGAAAATTCTGCTTTACTTAGCAGTGTTTACGACCTACTGTCAGGCACTTTAATCTCTCCTGGTTTCTGTTCCTTGCGCATAGAGGAAGCTGGAGATTTCTCTTGCTCAGGAAACTGAGACAGTGTACTAAGGAGATTACATTGACTTGTGTAAGACCAAATTTGTGATAACCCTTAAACTTTTGATTCTGTGTTGGAGACACCTGGTAGGGTCTTTGCAATATCTATTATTTTTATAAAATCAAATTCATAGATAGAAAAAGGAAGTTGTTGAGCAGTTTAAACAACCCAAAATGTAGTTATAAAACCAGATGGTAGAGCACAAATACTTGACTTCATATATTTCCACATATCTGCTGTTGTACAGCATAATCCATTAGGGTCCTCGTAATATTTCCCCCATCTATTTCAAAATACAGGCCACTGCCATACTAGTAGTTATGTCTAGTTATTACTAGTAGCAGTCAAGGTATTACTTGACAAGAGTAACAGCCTGGCTTTAGTTCCTCAGTTTAGACAGTAATCTGTTCCTGCAGTGCACTAAAACTATTCATATTGTTGCTACAAAGGACTTCTTCAAAGCTGGAATTGTACTACACATACACAAACTGGTCACTGTATGTTAACCTTTGATCACCAATAGAGATGAATGTCCTGAGGAAAGGTAATTAGCAAAGCTTAAGGGAAAAAAAATGGTATCTGCCTGTTTTTCACTGATGAGTAACAGTCCAAAAATGGTCAGTAGCAAATATTTAATTATGTTGAGTTGGTTTAAAAAAACAAACAATAGCATTCAAGTCCAAATTTCCTTTTCTGTGCTACAGGTTATTCTGCTTCTTCTTGTATTTATATATATCTACCTATATGTAATACAAATGTATAAATAACATTTATGCTTGTGAATGTGAAGTTAATATATTTATTCAGATTATTATGTCCAAAGCCCATAAATAGAAGGAGTTATAGGGTAATGTGCTTAAGATACTCGCTTTGTTTTACCAAATTATTTGCAAATCTCATCCCTGCAAAGTCCTAAACACTACATATAAATAAGATATAAATTTACAAATTAAAAGATGTCATATCTTCACATAATCACAAGCATCAATTTAAGTTATATAATTCCTCTACCTGACACATACTTGCTAAGTTTACTAATGATGCTTTCCAGAACTGACTTCTTTTCTAAATTATACAGGATGGTGCTGCTGGCCAGCATTTATGTACCTCAGAATATGCAAGTCCCTTGTTCATTCTCCTTCTGCTAAACTGAGCAAGTGACATTTGAAGAATAAATGCACCATTGTGTCCCCTCTTCAGGGTTCCCTCCACTCATCTCATCTAGGTCTTGCTGAAGGTTTTTTGTTTTTTAAACGCATCTATAGCACTAGGCACAACAGAGGGCACTTTCACATTCATGGTAGCTACAGTATATGCTGTTCTTCATCCTTTTTGTTTTACCTTTTTCTCCCCTCCTTTTAGGAATCTCTCCTATTTTGCTACACAAAGCAGTCCATCTGCTGTCATTCTGGACCTCTGGGAAGCCCGACATCAACATGATGGCGATCTTGACTCCCTAGCCTGTGCCCTGGAAGAAATAGGAAGGACACACTCCAAAATCTCAGACGTAACAGAAACTGAGATTGAGGAGCCTGACTTCAACTACAGCAGACAAAATGGACTTTAGTCACTTTTTTCCATTCAAGAACTGACGGCCAGCTTTGACTATTACACTAGAGATTCTCTTTGGCAGGGAGGCAATAAGGGTTTCTGCACAGTGTGTATGGAAACAGACACTCATTTCCACAATGCGGTTTTCAGTTGGAGGAGCAGAAGAAGCCCTACTAAAAATCATCTCAGTAATAAGGAAAACACAAGCTTCTCCCTGTCCTCTCTCATTTAAAATTCATCTTTTAATGTCAGAAACCAAACTACATGTCTATCATTCCTGGGGCAGGAAAGAGTGAGATACAGAACCATAAAAGGTAAATATTATGACATAATGTATTTAGGAAACAGTAATGCTAATACAATGCCTAGTGAAAATCAGCAAATATGATACTGAGTATGTAGAGCCACCAGAGGTTAATCCTAGTTTAAAGGTTTGTCTTCTTGGGGCCTTGACTCCCTTTTGTCCTGCATCTCTAACTTACCACACTTAAAAGAGTGGGTTTAAAATGTCATTTGATATCATGTTGTCACTTTGTATCTGCTACAGAAAAAAAGAAAATCTGGCCTTATCCTGTTCAGATGTTTGAGGAATTAGGAGATCTCATAACTATTTAATTGATAGCATGTGCATTCCAAACAACTTTTAAAAATTCAATCACTTAATGAATGTACATTTGCTGCAGAGCTTTCCTGCCTATTCTGTTATCAGAATAACAGAACAAAACCCTTCTCTGCGAAATTAGTGTGCAGGTGTGAGAGAGAAATTTTCTAAAGTTCTTGGTCTGCAAACTTAGTCAAAAAAGTAAAATGCAGGAAATTGCCAGCCCTATTTTAGCAAGTTTACACATTTTTTTTATTGCTTCATGTTCTGGGGCTAAACTAAAAAGTAAAGGTGAAGTCAAATCAGCAAAGCTTAATTTTGGTTTAGTTTCAGACTGAAACCAGAAACCCTACATGATACTGCCAAAAATTGGCTTGATTTCATTGTACAATCTGGAAATTTCACAGGATATAAAGCTGGCTGTGTTACGTTTGGTTTAGTTACAAACATATTGCATTTACCACCAAAACCAGAATCTAACTAGATAATTCTCCTCATTTTTTATCCATTTTGTACAGAAATAATTTATTACTTCAACTGAACCAAAAAGAGAGCTGTCACTGTGAGCGTGTCCTAGTGGAACTGGTACTGAGCCAAATTTAACCATTATTTTTACTCATATATTCTTTAAAATTAGCCAAGGTGCTCATTAGCTCTGGCCCTAGGCTATCAGTTTTGGTGATAGGAATACAATCAGTATAAAGCAGGAACATAAACAAGACTTTAGGAGCTTTATGGAAATGCAAGAAATTGAAAACAAGCATTCTGGGTTTTTTTTACCTCTGTATTTGGCTGAGAGCAGCATGATAGGCCACAGGGTAGGTACTTAGTGTGCAAATCTATAATAATCTGAAACTATTTCTTTACCCAGGATTCCAGTTCTGAAAAGTATGATGAACAACTCTTGATGTAAGACTTTGCTTGTTCTCACTCATCTGAAATTGCAAATTTCATTGCTTTCCCAGCTCAGCGGGCTGGAATAGTCTTAGACTTCCCCAAACATTTTCTGCACTTCAGTATTTCATGCAGCCTGCCATGAGAGTTCCTGTTTGCAATGGAAAATCATAATGGCTGCAAGCATATTTAAGACTGAGACAAAAATACCAGCTGATTTGGCAGCAAGCTGCCACTGTTTTCAGCAGCACATGGTTCTATCTGTATTTGAATTATATTTCTAGCGACTTCCAGTCCTCCTCCTCGGAAACCTGTTCTTCATTGGACAAAATATCATGAATTAAATGAAAAAAAAAACAGGGAATGGCATCTACAGAAAAGCAGTGGAGTTTTAGTGAGCTGTCGTTGTCTGGGAAACCAGTTACAGTCACTCTCCAGCAGTTAATTTGTTCTCAGCTTCTCCTCAGATGCAGTTTTAATTTTCAAACTAGCTTAGGTTAGCTACCACAGCAGAGACCTAAGTACTACCCTGCAGGTGCTGTAACATATTCATGTCACTCCGAAGAGCTGTATGTGTTTTCTCTTCTTGTATTCCAAATATATGTGAGCTACACACAGCATATGAGGTCAAAAGAGCTGCTGTATGGACCTCAGACCTTAAAGCTTTTTCTCAGGAAATGCACAGTGTTTACTTTCAAGACTTGGGTAGCTTTGAAAAAAACCTCTATGTACAGCAACACCCAACTCTGCCTACTGAAAGCTTGGTAAAGCCTAGAGAGAGAGAGAAACCAGAAGCTGTCTAGAGTGACTTCCTCCAAAGTACATCTAAAAGGGCCTTCAGAGTGAAGGGATCTGGGTTGTACAGCAAAATCCAATGAAGTCTAGTGTCTGAGTTAGTTAACATACTGAAAAGGAATAAATGTCAAAGTTTCTTACAATGCCAGAAAAGAAACCGTTCAGTTTTGGGCCCAAGGTAAGATTTTAATTTTACAGTGCTCAATAGAGTATTGTTGTTTCCCTTTAAGTTTTGTTTCCTGTTTTTTCTTCACTTTTGCTAAAGCAGCTTCTTTGTTACTCATCTTTCTTTAGTGAATCTGAATCAAGAACTCTGACTTTTTGTAACCTATTATTGTTTTGATGCTCTTGTATTAAGTGGACTAGAAATGCCACAATACTACTTATTTACCTTTCTCGCACTGTAATGGGGTTTGAAACAGTAACCAAACCACTAGCCTACATTTCTCATGTGAGCTTATCCAGCTGCACACCTGAGTCTTGTAAGAACTGTCATACTATGTCAGGTGAAAATCCATTTAGTCTTGTGTGCTATCTCTAATAGTGACCAGGATGGAAAGTTTAGGGAAACAGTGTAAGAAACATGCCCTGTACTAAAGGACTTCCTTAGCAGGGGGATTGCATTTGGACCACTGTGTTTAAGAATCACTGATACTGTCCTTCAACAAACTGACTCATCCCTTTTGAACCCACTGAAACACTTGGCCTTCATGAACAATATCCAGGAGAAACAACTGCCACAATCTTCTTTTGCCCTTTTTTTTTTTTTACACAGCCCTTCCTTTCCAAGCTTTCCTTTTGTGTAACACATGCTGCCTAACAATTGCACTGGGTTCCCCTAGTTCTGTGCAGTAAGGAATACTGAGTAACTGTTACCAAATCACCTTATCCATATATTATGCATTCTTTTACAGGCTTCTCTCACATTTAATTTCCACTCACTCTCTTGTCTAGGCTGAAAAACCTTGGTTTATTCTACTTCTTTGAACATCCTTGCTGTTATTCTCTGTATCATCTCTAGTTCTGTATCTTTTTGGAGATGGAGCGACCAATAACCTGCTTTTCAACAGGAACACAGGCTAAATCATGTAATTCCTCCATTTCCTCAGTTTCTTGCTGTTCCCACATTCAGTATCAATCACAGAGGATTAAGATCTTGCTATAGCATACAGCCACAAGAAACGCCTGCAAGAGACTGCAGGATGCCCGAGAATACAGTAACTGACTTTACTATGCAAATTACTCAGGCTAGTACATCCTGAACATCCAGCAAATAAAACCTGTGAGGAAAAAGTGTGTAGCTGAAAAAAAAAGACTGAGGTGACAGAGATGTCAAAATCATAAAAAAAAAAAAAAAAATCCTAAAAAGTAAATTTTTTGTTCTCTATGCTAATGATAGATATTGGTAGGCAGTAACTGGATAATAAGAACTTACGTTAGGCTTTTGAGTGGAAAAACAGGCTTTTTTTCTATTAAAAAAAAAAAAAGAAAAAAAAAGAAAGGTTTTTTTCTATTCCCTTCCCCCCCACTGCATCTGTTGATTACCTGGTATGTCTGATACACACATGCCTGTTTTCAGATGCTCTCTTTCTGTTGTTTTCTGTTAGCATCATGGCATGATATTAATAGCACTTAGCACTTTTACTTATAGAGGCTTATGCCAGTTCTCCTCCCTTTTTTATGCAGAGTCCCGGTTTTAGAGATGGAGAAATTAAAACGGTTTTTAGGTAAATGCTTCTGCTACCATATAAATGGGGCAGCCACATAGGTTTTGTTACCATTAACAGCTGAACAATACAAGTAAAAGATGTTAAATGTTTGCTTCCTATTTTCTGCAGTAGAAAGCAGCTGACTTTGCCAGCTCACCGCAAGCCTGCTGTAAGTATGCTTTGCAATACAGTATTCTCTCAGAATGATAATTTAGAATTTGTATGCAAATGCTATATAAATAGATACGTTGAACATTATTAGCAATCTTAAAATTCTATAAGCACATTTTTAACATCTATGTTAATAAAATTTTCTGGAAATCTGTATACATATATATATATATATATATGATTTGATCCAGAACACAGATGTAAAGGAACATCTGAAGCAGGATTAGAGGCCAGAAATTAAGAATTTATTCCTCTATTTTATAAATTATAACTTTTGAAAAATAATTTTTAAAAGCTCTTCACAAACTAGAAAGTAAAAGAAAGAGAAATGTAATGTTACACACTTAAGATTCCGTCTAGCTGCCCTGAGTCCGAGATGGTGAAATAGCCATTTTGATTTTACATCACCAAAGAATCTGCTCTAGTATATTTTCATCCTCCTGAGCACTTTTCCCAGATATTTCTGAGCTGTGAGTCATATAAGACTAATAGTTGCATTTTAAAAATGACTTACAATTTTGTCACCAAAGTGGTGCACTTCACAGCTCCACCAGACTGCAGCATCATAAAGCTAATTTACAGTTTTTACAACACTGCTTTTGCAGTCTTACTAGTTTACATTAAAATCCTTTAAGCCACAAGGAAAGGAACCCTGCTCTGTAGATTTAAATTCAAACTTCATTTACCCCTGCAAGTCCCATAAAACCAAGATGTACTCCCACAAAAATTTTATTGGGCTTTTTGTAATAGATGAAAAGATATCAACACAATTCTTTTAAAATACAGGGAACTATTTTTGTTATTATTTTTATCTCTAGCAACAGCTGCTCTCCTCCTCCATGGGCC